GGTATCCAATAACATTTCATCCAGCCGTGCTTTAAAACGATGCAAGGGAATCAAAATGCTCAGTTTCAATATTTTTTGCATGGTGTTCCAAGCCAGAGGAGCAGCGCACATAAAAGCTTTAGCACCTAAAACAGTCCTAGCACTTGGCACATGTAATAAGAACACATCCTGTGATCTCAGGCAATAGCTACTTGCCACTCTCCGTGAGATCAAAGAGCAGATATAAGAAGGTAGTTTACCCAGCATGGCTTTATATATGAATATGTACCAATGACTGAGCCTCCGTACAGTGAGTGAAGGCAGACCTGCCTTGGCATACAGGGTACAGTGATGAGTAAGTACTTTACAGTTAGTAACACATCTCAGAGCACTGTGATAGGCGGCATCTAACCTTTCCAGGCAATGGGCAGGTGCATTCATATAGATCAAATCACCATAGTCTAGCACAGGTCAAAAGGTCACAGTGACTAGCCTTTTCCTGGCTTCAAAAGAGAAACAGGACTTGTTTCTGAAAAAGAAACCTAGTCTAACCCTCAGCTTTTTAAGCAGATTAGTGACCTGAAGTTTAAAAGAGAGACAATCATCAAGCCAGATACCAAGGTATTTATAACAGCTAACCACTTCTAGTACTTGTCCTTGCATAGTAACAATATCTAAAACAGTCTCTGGAGTCTTTTTAGCTTTAGAAAAGAACATTACTTTGGTTTTCTCAACATTTAAAAGAAGCTTTAGTTCAGAGAGCTGAGTAAGAATAATGTTAAAAACATGTGTGTGTGTGAGTGTGTGTGTGTGTGTGTGTGTGTGTGTGTGTGTGTGTGTGTGTGTGTGTGTGTGTGTGTGTGTGTGTGTGTGTGTGTGTGTGTGTGTGTGTGTGTGTGTGTGTGAGAAACTTGAACAAACATGTCCAACATTTTAGAGGAAAAAGGTTCAGATATTTCATGAAATAAATTTGATTCATTTTGAAAATGCAAAAGGAGAAAAGTCATATTAATTAAGAGGAAAGAATACAAGGGAACCTTTCAGAGCAAACATTTAAAATATTTTATGAAAAAAGTCTAAATAATGTTTTCTTAAAAAAACGTCTTAAAAGTGAATAAAACTCCTACCTGTTGAACACTCTGCAGGTGGATGGGGTAACATATTTAACACAGAGATATCACCATGAAACTTCCCACCTTCATTACTGACATTAACACAACTATCTTTTATATTACAAGTTTTCTGACAGGTTGTGTTTAAATATGCAAATGAGGCGTTATATAAGGGGAGTTTAGGAGAAGTCTGCAGACAGAGTTAGAGAAATAAACTCCTAAATGTGGATTTGAGACGTTCTCTTTCCACTCGTCTGAAAGGAGACGTGGTATGGGAAGCTACAAAGTGCTTTGTACATGTCTTAGCCTGTAGTGTCTCAGATGCAGTTTCACATTTGGCCCTCATCCTCTTCCGTAGTAGATGTGTTTACAGCGGGACTAAAGGAAGAAGGAGATGAAGCAGGTTTCTCTGATGGTGTTCAGCTCTCATTCTCTCTGAGGTGGTGTCTGATCAAATGGAGATGTGTGATTATTTTCTCTCTGCTGTTCATTAGGAAATGTCCTGTGAGCTTTCAGTGTTTCACACACACGTCACAGATCGTCCATTTTATTTTTGTATGAAAGAAAAACAGCGATTTGGACATAAATGATATCAGCAGCCTGTAGTTCACTGACGATCTGTATCATGAAGTTTGATAAGGATATATTTACGCCTTGAATCACGTGAATGCAAACACGCTCTCTGTGCATGTTGCTTTGGACACCACATGTTTCCAGGATGGATCAAAAGCTTCTAGTTTTTAAAAACCTGCTAGAAAGTGAAAAGTATATTTATATCTTCTGTTTCCTCTGCTTCAGCTTCTGTGTTTGCACATTTCTATGCCGATCGATGCCTGTATATGGATCTTTCTCCTGATGATATTTTAGGTTATGAAAGTTAATAAAAATGAAACTCTTGAGAGACGGCGTGAGATTATTTTATATGTTTGTTTCTTTCATTGACAAATGTTTTAGGACAGCTTCAGTCAGTCACCGTAGATAAAACATGTTTCAGTGAAACAGATTTGATATCTCAGCTGTAACCACACACACACACACACACACACACACACACACACACACACACACACACACACACACACACACACACACACTTCACGAACAACCTTCACTTCTTCACTGCTGGAGATGCACTAAAGGGGAACCTCAGTATTTTCACACCTGGACACGGTTTTCTATTTGTTTTGTGTCTAATGGCTTTTCCACTACAGGTTTTAGCGTTTTTTCAGAATTCTGACTTTTCTTTCTCAGAACTGAAAAATATATATTTTTGACTTTTATTTATTTTGTTCGAGAAAGTTACCGGTGCGCCAAGGAGGAAGTGGAGCACACATTTCATTGCAGACTGTTATGTTTATGTGGGGAAATGACAGTGCATGCATTCGGACTCAGACTTCATTTTAAGGACATTTAAAAAATTAGAAGTTCACAAAAGACAGCAGGAATTATAACAATATCCATAATATCTATATTAAAGCATGGGCTGGCTTGGTGAATAATGTGGGAATACAAATAGTGGAAGAATAGGCTTTGTACATTTGTGTGGCGCTGCTGGTTGGTATATTTTATGGAATTTGGACCAAGCATCTGCATCTGTAACAGTTCTGTTTAAAACTTTTTAAAATGTAATTGCATTCATCTTTAAAGGTAGGGTAGGTAAGTTTGAGAAACCGGCTTGAGATACACTTTTTGTTATATTCCATGGAATGCTCTTAACATCCCGATAGCAATGAATATCTGAAGTGCCTTGACAATAAATACATTAAAAAAATGTCATCTGTGGAAGCTGTAGTACTGTAAAAAGCACGACCAATCATCTGAGCCGGCCCGGCTAAAATAACTGGCCTTCCATCTGTGCACAAACTTATCTCGTGCCCTCATTGGTCATGTGCGCGTTCGTGTGTGTTGGAGGAGGGGCTCTGTAAGGAAGTGGCAGATTTTTTCCGGCTGTGTATTTTCAAATTCTAGCGCACTCGAGCCGGTTTCTCCAAAATGACCTACCCCACCTTTAAAAGACTACTTTTATTGAATGAGAGTTTTACCTAGCACAATGAGCCTGGGGTGGTGGGAAGGGAGAACTGGGCCTCGGCATCGGCAGGAGTTGTCATCGCCTATGAGTATTAGAATTTAGATGAACAAAGGCATAGAAAAACCCTGAAATATGTACTGACACAAAGCTACAACCCTCGATTTTGTAAGTAGTAGTAGTAAATACATACGTATATACAATATACAACAATACGCATAGTGCAATTAGCAGTACCAGTAATAAAATAACTGAATAAATAACTAAGCTGAATAGTGAATAAAGTGATATGTGAAAAGTAAAATGACAGTGAAATGAAATGACAGTGCGTTCCTCACCACTGCGATCTGGCTCCTCTGTCCTCGTGTCTTTTGGGTCTGATTCCTCACTACTGATGTCTGCCTCTCTGCATGGACCCTCTCTCCTTATTTCTTCTGTCTCAGTCACCACTGCTATCTGGCTCCTCTGTCTTCTTGACTTGTGGTTCTGCAGGCTTAGTTCGACCTATGAATTTCAACAATGCTCCTGTAAAATATATAGATATATAGTATTATGGGTCAACATTAAAATAACATACACTGGAGACAACATGTGAAATTCAATTGACTGGGGCTAAACATATTGATCCACAAAATTGTCAGCAGGGCAATAACAACTAAAATGTGAAACTACTTGAGCATTAGTCCACAACACAAAGCCTACACAATAGCCTACAAAGTTACTGCTCTCTCTGCTCTACTCTCTCGCTATCTCCTCTCTCCCGCTCTTTTCTGCCGGGCTCGTCTCCCGCTCTCTCGGTTTCACCTTCATCTCCCTCCTCTCTCTG